ATTAAAGTTTTCAAAATGTTACAAAAAGAAAAAAGAAAAAGAAAAAATACAAAGTAAAAACAGTTTAAAACAATTCAATCTTTCCGTATCTTATCTTTCATTTGCTTGTTCCCCAGACCTCCTCACACCTCCCTTTTTTGTATTCCAGTTCAATTAGTTGGTTCAGCAAATCCTTTCCCTCTTTGTTTTTATCCTAATCTTTAATCTTAATATATTATAACTTTAGATTATCACCTGTTAACAATCCATTTTTGCACATCTTTATAACATTACTGCTGAAAACCACTTAACTTCAATCCAACATCATTCTAACATTCATTAATTTTGCAGTATTTCTGTAGATAGTCTTTAAATTTCTTCCAATCTTCTTCCACCGACTCTTCTCCCTGGTCTCGGATTCTGCTGGTCATTTCCGCCAGTTCCATATAGTCCATCACCTTCATCTGCCATTCTTCCAGGGTGGGTAGATCTTGTGTCTTCCAATACTTTGCAATAAGTATTCTTGCTGCTGTTGTGGCATACATAAAGAATGTGTTTATGATGTGTTCTTTATGATGTGTTTATGTTTATGCGATGCTTTTGGGTTAATCCAGCAGGATTCTTCTTCTGTTCTTAAGGCCTCTAGCTATGGTCTTTCTAAGCCCTAACACTAAGACCCACACTGAGATCTCTTCTATTCCCTTCCCTTTCTTCTCCAGGAAAGGATGGTACCCAAACCAGGAGAGCTGCTTTTATTATATAAGTAACATGAATGGGTGGTTCAGTGGAAATAGCTCCTCCGAGTCCTATGCATAGATTGTTGCCATACAATGATTATATGTGCATGTGTAGAGACAACTTATCAACAGTACATTGAGCAGCAGGAGAGAACTGTCAGCATCAAATGCTTGGGTTTACAACTTGTAAACTCATGCACCAGTATTGTAAATTAACCAGCCAGCCCCAAGAGAGGTACTGAAAATCAGAATTGGGTAGTTACAGCAGGAACAATTGCAGTAGCTAATGAGAAAGATTCTGGGTAACTTCCATGATCCAAGCTGCCTACATTACAGCCACACCTAAACCCCATACTGCAAATGTAACTCAATGCGTGGTACTGGAGCAGTCCATCGTGGACCCAGATCAGGACCCAGTTATTGACCGCAATCCACTAGTTGAAGACATTTACTAAAGGGTGAATTGGTCTGCCCAGTTTTGAAGACAGAATCTTGAAACCTACTCGTGCTATTGATTTCTGACAGTTTCGAATCTTTCCCGCCACCCCTGGAGAAAGAGCATTTCTACAGAGTTTAAATGGCATATGCTGAAGATAGGCCTGTTAAGATGCTGGCTGTTTCCACCCCAGGTTATCTGAAGAACACAACCTTCTTGTTGAGCAGTAATGCAAAATGTCCTGTTTTGCAAAGGGATTTGAAGAACCGGGAGATGAGCAGCTTCACTAGAGAGGAATGCTACAGTAGTAGGTCCAGTGGCAGAAGACTGGACAGCATGGACGTACCCAGGATTTTTGTTGGGGGAGCACAACCTCAGTTTGCTATGTATTTTTATTGATTGGGGGGGGGACAGCTGCCCCTCCCTGACCTCCCTTGGCTATGCCCATACTGGGCAGGGCTGTCAGCAAGGGACCAATCTCAGGGCAGCATCTCCTGCTTTCTCCATGGCTCAACATGAGGACTCATGCTTGCTTTGCCTTCCAGATAAAGGTCTTTGTTGCATCAACAGCTTCAGAGCTTGGTGTGGGCGGGATTGGCATAACCCATAAACTGTCATATTGCATGCAGAAGCACAAGAATAAGTCCAATTTGAAATCAACTTGAAATCGTGGAACTGATAGGTTTGTGGATCACTCCATTTTTAAATAAATAAATGCTTGAGAAAGCAATGACTTAATGAAATACTAGAGACATTTAGCATCTTCAGTATTAAATTGTAGAAAGTAATAGCCTTAAGCAATGAACTTTAGGGCTGGACAGACAAAAGGTTGTCTCTTGACTGGTGAGTTTGACTTGATCACATTGACTCAATCTTACTGACTTAATTTACTTCTCCATCCCACAATTCTACCAAATTCCTTTGAAGGAACCATTTGCTTTAAGGTTTGCGTTTTCTTGACAAGCTTTTTGAGATTTGAGAGAAACTCACAATACATTTAAAAAATGAGCTGCTCGCCAAAATCAAACTTTAAAACTAGGAAGTCCTTCCTATAGATGATATCTGGGCTTGGTAACTTGCTCTCTTTTTCTCTCCCTCTCCCTCTCGGTAAGAAACTGCAGTTTGATCAAGCTGCTAGAGAATGATTCATAGCTTGATATTTTGTTCTTATCAAATACATAGCAAGGTTTCTGTTCCAAATATAAATAAATATTGGTATTATCTGCATCTAAAAGGGAGGTATGCAACAGGTTTATTGCTCTGTTTGTGCCGGTAAACCCATTGACGTGAACATATGGCCAAGCAAAGAGCAATCAGATTAATTTTCACCAAAAGGGAGAGATAACAGGTGGCATGTTCAATGGGCACTGATTTAGCATGGGAAGCATTCGGTCCTCCTCAGCAGAAGCTACAGCTGTCAGAATTAAAATGACCAATTGTATCAAAGCATGGGTTGCCATTTTAATAGAAACTCATCACTGGAAATGTTGTCACTACCAAAATAATAGAATAAACACAAAATGTAGTTGGTGCAGAGGGGAATCTGTGGAGACAGGTGGTCCTTCCATGTGGGTCAGCCAGGATTGTCTAGATGTCCTTTCATGACTCTATGAATGACCTCATTATGACAGGAAGCAATTCTTCTTCCTTTCCTATCAACAATATCCTAGAATCATAGAATCATAGAGTTGGAATAGACCACAAGGGCCATCGAGTCCTCCTTGTCTTGACATGATGATTATCTCCATGGCAGTTTCGTCAAAGCTGTCAAAGTTCCTAGTAGAGGCTTACCCACTGAGCGCAATCTACCTATGACAGAAATGGTAGCAGCACCATATCAAGAGCTCTTTCCATTTTACAGGCATGTGCTTAGCAAAGGAAGTCTAGAGATGCTCCTCACAAGCAATTCTCCATCCTTGAATCCAAATGTGGATCTGAGATGGTATCTCTTAAGTCCCTCCTATTCCAGTTCCTCCCCCATCAGACTTCACATGAACTCAAAGGCTGCGGTCCAGAGCATAGCCAAATTTGCTGCACTGCAAGGTTGGGGAACTTGGAACCCTCCAAATGTTGCTGGACTAAGGCTTCCACCATTCCTGACCGCTGGCCCTGATGCCCAAGGGCTGATGGGAGATAGAGTTCAATAAGGGCTGCAGGCTTCCCCATCCCTCAGCTTAGAGTCTCACCGATCGGAATGAGATGTAGGAAATGCTTCATCAGATGGGATGCACTTGGGGATCCAACACCCCCAAAATCTGGTTCCCTCTGCTTGCTGGTGGAGAAAGGAGTCACCCGGTACCTACGTGTTGGGAGATTCACGGGGGCTCAGTAATCCTCAAGTGCAAACCAACTCCCTAATTGGATCCCATAATTGGATTAACTCGGTTGCTGCTAATCAATTTACGGGAAGAGAGGAGAGAGAGAGATGGAAAAAAATGTTTCTCTGGGCAATTCAGCGAAGAGAGCGGAGGCTTTCCCTGCCGCAGCCCTAGACGCCAGGTTGGCTACACCAAGTGTCGTTACTCACAGCTAAGAGGCAGCGAAGCCATTAAGGCATCCTGCAGGCAACTTCAGGCAAACTTTCGATGGAGCCCCCGCTTCTAAATGCAAACCGAGAGTCTCGTTGGAAGAGAGGGAACGCCAAATGGAAAGGAGCACAGCAACTGGTCTCCTCAATGGGGCAGGCAAACTCACTGGAGGGCCACCTCTCCACCCCCCCGGTTAGTTAGTGATTGGTTGGTTGGTTGGTTGGTTGATTGCAAGTTAGGGGCTTGCAACTCTTTGGCTACTTTTCTCCGAATATCCGAAATGGGGAGTAAACTGCAACGTGAGTGTCTTTCTCTAGATGATTCCCTTGTGTAAGGGATTGATAACCCCAGAAGTGGATGGTTGCCAGATGATGCAGGAGTTGCCAGAGAACCAAATGGATCAGGATATTTTCCTAGCTAGTGTTCTTTTTTTTTTTATGTCGTATGGGTTGTTTTTTCAGGTTTTACAATGTTCATGATGTGATTCAACGCGTGAGAAAGGGCACTGCCAGTCCCATTTTCAAGATTTGGGCAACTGAGGCTAAGAGGGGCCGGTGGCATTCCCGGGACCTGTGGGTTAATCTCTGGAGGAGCTGAGAGACCAAGATCCAGAGCTCTATTGTCCAGAACCAAAAGTGTCACACTCACAAGGAACGCAGACTGATTGCGGAAAAGGCCGAAGCACAGAAGGTGCCTGATAGGGAGAGAAAGAGGCAGATATATAGGGGATCGATGCTTTGCTATAATGAACAGGGGTTAGTCCTTGGAGTTGAAGGATGGAGTGAAGAACTACAGCTTCAATCTTGCTGCACACTTCCTTACTTGGGAGTCAGCCCGACTGAACTCAGCAGGGCTTACTTCCAGGTAAACGCGCATAGGACTGCAACATGCTTCCTTGAAAGTAAGCTCCGTTGAAATCCATGGTCTTATTCCCCAGCAAATGAGCTTAGGATCCAGGTACAAAACGGATGGGTATGCACAGGTATCACCCCCCCATCCATCCCGCCACCATTATACAGGTGTGCGAGGGTGCGTACCTGAGCATGGCCATCAATCCTGTACCTGGATCCCAGACCTAAACCCCATAGGCACCCATGCGTATTAACGCAGAGCGTTGCTTAGTCTTCCTTCCCTGATGCGCACACACGCACGCGCGCATACTCCATCAGCGAGCCAGCCATTCATATGTGTATGCAGGTATATGTAAATATCCTCGAGCACCTGTCTGCCGGTCTCCATCCACCATCTGCCTGTCTCCCTCTCGTCCTCCCTTCGCCATGCCACCTGCATAGTTCCGCCTGTTTGGCTCCACTCCGCTCGGATGCAACAAGTCCCTGGAGTGCCGTCCGTGTGTTCAGTTAGAGTGAAAGTGACACGGCAAGGGAAGGGGAGAGAGAGAGAGAGAGGGAAACGCTGGCTGCTTCCTTACCTGCTCCCACCAAATGCAAATCTCCAGCCGGCTCATCTTGCTCGCCTGCACGCACCAGACGGGTTAGAGCGGGCGCGGGGTGGGGGTAAAGTGAGCTGGACTTTTTTTCTCTTTCCCTGCGTGCGTTCTATGGGGTGTCCTGAGAAGACTTTGGCGGGGAACTTTGAAGCCCACTCCCCACGTGTCGGGAGGGAGGCGAGAGAGAGAGAGACACGTTTTCTCTCCCCCTCCCCACCCCGCGCGCCACTTCTTTCCCTGGATTGTTCCAGCTGGGTCTCGTTGCCAACCCCCTTCTCGTTTATTAAGATCACGTAAGAAGAAGAACCCAAAGGGGGAGAGAAAACGTGTCTGAGCTCAGGCGTTTGCGTAAATCCGAGATCGGTTTTTAAAGAACTCCCTGCCAGCCCGTCGCTTTCCGTTTCCTTCCTGTAGCCACCAAGGTGGTGGAAGAGTTGAGGCTTGCGGATATTGCAAAGGGTTGTTATTAGATTCATAAGTCACACCAAGTGGTGGGCGATCCACTGAGCCGAGCAGAACTTCTCACATGATGACTTCAAACGAGACACATTACCTCCCAGCATCTGTTGGAGAGACTGGATTTTAAAGGCACTTCTGTCGCCAGGACAGCAAAGAAACAATGGTGAGTACCAAGACCAGGTATTGCTATTTTCCAGACTTGTGATTTCAAAGAAGATGGATAGATAGATCTCAGTAAAGCTTGGGGCTGTTGCCTGACAACAATAGTTCACAGCTCACCTTACTATCATCATCAATATTAGCATTATTATTATTATTAATCTCTCAACCCTCCTCTCGCCCCCGACGTCCCCACTCGGTAGCACTTTAATTTCACCAGGCATAATATGAGTCTCAGAGGCCAGATGAATTGCGTGCGTGCGGGAAGTGTGTGTGTGTGTGTTTAAAGAGGCTCCAACTTTAATGGCAACGCTCTTTTTGATTTAAGGCTGCGTATCAGAAACTTGGAGCGGGGTTTTTCCTTGGGAAAGCTGTTGGCTGCGCGATCCACTTTCACCCTTTCTGCTGTTGAGGATGATGGTGGCGAGGGTGTTTGTTGTTATTTCACACGGACACTTGGGGGGGAGGGAGAATAATATTGGAACGGGATGTTTGGGGCGGAGAGAGGGGGGACAGTTGTAGGGAGGAGGCAGGAGAACAAAAAACATAAAATAATGTAATGGGTGATTCCAACCCCCCCCCCCCGCTCCCCGCCGCCCCGGTGAAGCAAACTCAACATGTGATCTTCTATTTACAGCCCGGCTCTTTTGCCAAGCTCGCTTCACGTGACAGAGCCCGAGAAAAGGGGGAAAAAGGCGAAACCCGTATCAAGTGACACTTCGTGAAAGTGAACATCCTCGACGCCCCCTCCCCACCTTTCCTGGGGCGTTGAGGAGAAAGGGGTGGGGGAGGAGGGAGGAGGAGGGGGTGTCGATCAGTACCTTGGAGAGAGGCAATGGGTTTGGCACCCCAGGTATCTGTCTCCCCTCCGGAGCGAATCCCGGAGCTCTTAAAAGGCGGCTAGGGTGGACCTCCCCTCACACTGATAAGATCTGGCTAGGAGGAGGGAGAGGGAGACAGAGGCAGAGAGAAAGAGACGGAGCAAACCCTCTCCCGTCACAGTTTCAACTGCGTCCCGGTTTCTGGGCTGACATTGACTCGGATTCCTAGCGGCGGGGAGTGCAACACAGAGAGCGAGAGCGAGCAGCTCCGGCGCTTGGCCCCGACGGGTCGGGTCAACTCTGGGAGATGCGAGTGCGCTGCTTCTGAAAGAGCTCGCCACGGGTTGTGGGTTAGCGGTGACTAAAGGTAAGGAAAGGGCGCCGATCTCTCGCCTCCCCCTCCTCGCTTCCCGGTGTGCGTGTGTGTCCGTGCGCGCCTTCCCACCCGTCCTCCGTCTCCCCGCGACGGGGGGAGAGGTTTCTTCGCTCCTCTTGGCCGAGTTTGTGCTCTCTTGCTTTCCGATCTGGGCGCGCGGAGGAAGAGAGGCAAGGTAGGCGAGGGAGAGGTGCCTGGCGCGACTGCTCACTCCCAAGAGTTGGCTTAACTCGTGGGGTTGGATCCCAGGTTGCCGTGTGTGTGTTTGTGCGAGAGAGAGCGAGATAGTGTGTGTCTTCTAGAGAGAGATGGGCGCAAAGACAGAGAGATCACCGGCAAGTGATAAGCTACCAGGAGCTGATCACCGCTTTGGGGAGAGAGAGAGAGTCAGCTCTCCAGAAACTCCTCTCCAAACGATCGCCTTCCTGTGTTTACATGGATGATACCTTCGCTTGCATTCACGTGTGGTGCCTTCTCCAAAAGCGGCTCTCTGTGGTACTTTAGTTGCCAGTTTTATTTTCTCTCTCCAGCGGGGTGTTTCTAAACCCTCCAACGTATCAACGCAGCGGAAACTCCATTCTCTTGCAGTCTTCCTGCTCCTGTGTTTTATTTCCCCCCCCCTTCCCTTCCCTTCCATTCTCTCTCCCCTCCCCTTTCCTCTTTCGATTCTTCCTACGTAGAAATGTAGCTAATAATATTTAGTCTCCAGGCTAAAAATAAGCTGTGGAAAGTCAGCAGTTTGGAGCAGCGGGTGCTGCTGCTGCTGCTCACAGGTAGAGAGAGAGGTGCTTGCTATGCGCGCGGTGGTGATGGGGCGTCTCATCCCTGATTTCTATCTTTCCCCTTCTTAAGTCGTCATCGTCTCCCCGCTCCCTTGAAACCCCCCTCCGCCCATTGCAAGGATCCTAGCTGGAGCGGAGATCCGATCCAGCCTCAAATCCGTCCGTCCGGCGTGGTGCCCAGAGAAGTGGGGGTGGAGAAAGAAGCCGGGTAGGGACAAGGAGGGAATGGGAATCTTCATCCGCAGAAAGCAAAGAGGGAGGCAGGCGAGCTAGGCTTAACGGGAAAAGGCAGGAAACCCCCGGCGAAGAGCTGCCTCTTCACCCACCGCCAGCCTGGCCAGGAGGTGTTACAAACCAAGGAGGCGCGCGATGGCTTTAAGAGAAGCGGGGAGCCTGCACGAGAAACCAGGGACAGCCGCTCCGCTGCCTTCCCCCAAAACCACGCTCGGTCATCGCCCCGAGCTGAAACTGACAGGGGGGGCTGGACTGTTGGTGCTGGATCCGGCCCTTGCTTTCCCCTGTCCCTTTCGCTCCCCATTGCAGGTTCTGCTGCGTCCTGGAGAGAGAGAGAGATCCCACCTCGCCGGCCTCGCTCTTTGTTCCCGGGGCTGCTCGGCCGGCTTTAGCTGGCTGCAACGCGCTGCTGCCTGCCTGCCTGGCGATCTTCCTTGGCTTCGCCTTCCCTCCTCCTCCACCTCCTCCTCCTCCCACCCGCTTCTCAGCGCAGCTCCTCGGGCCGCGAGTGTCTCCTCCGGCGCGATTGCGATCACGTAGCTCAGGGAAGAAGGGAGAATCCCAAGCAAGCAGGCAGGCAGGCAGGCAGGGGGAGGGAAGAGAGGATTTCGCAAAAGGGTGTGGCTTGGGGCGGGGGAGGAAGGATACAGAGTGGCCTCCCACGCACGGGTCGGAAGTCGAGGTGTGTAGGGGCGGGGGACCCGGGTGGGATCCCGCCGCCGGAGGGGAGGAGGAGGAGGAGGAAGCTACCCCGGGGTCCCCAGAGGCGCTCCAAGCGGAGCCTGCGGGGAGAGGAGCGCCTCGTTCGGATTTGGAGATCGCCTTCCGGAGGAGGAGGAGGCGGAGCGGGCCGGCCAAGGCGCTGGAGGGGGGATTTCTGCTCGGTCTGATGCAATCCCAAACGTGCTGCAAAGGAACTCCGAGGCAGCGGCGGCATCACTCGCACCTCCCACCTGCCCAGATGGCGCGCCTTTAAATACGGATCGGCGGGGCCGAGAGCTCTCGGGCGGAGATTGGCGGAGAGCGAGAGAGGGAGGGTGCGGAGGGAGCCCTTAAAGGCGCCGCGCGCCTTCCTGCCTCTCGCTTGCTCTTCCGAGTTCCAATTGGCGCCCGCAGGAGCGAGGGAAGTCAGTATTGTGACTTTCGCCAACGGGGAGAGGAGCCGTCCAGGCTGCGGTGCGTGGTGGGGTGGAGAACCTGCCTCGGTTGCTAAGGGGGATCTGAGCGGAGTTACGCATTTGGTGGGCAGATGGACCGAGGCAATGGCGTAGAGAGGGCTGTGCAGCTCAGGGAACACGTGTGTGTGTGTGTGTGTGTGTGTGTGTGTGTGTGTGTGTTGGACGGGGAGATCCTTTCTGCCGCGGTGGCTTCTGGTTGAGCAGGTCCTTGTGGCTGCGACATAAACTGGTTTCACGAACAAAGTTGTCCAGAAAGGAGTTTCTGGGTCGAGAAATAGGATTGGTGCTAAAGCCAGGCCAGCATTGGGGTAGGTGGTGGGAGGCGTTCATTTCTAGCATGCCTACAGTGTTGTGGAACACTTGCCTGCATGGCCGTAAGGAGGATTTTTGTTGAGGGGGGGCAAGCTTAATTTTTGGAGCAGAGAACTTCAGTTAGTTAAGTATTTTTTATTGATTTAGGGGGGCATCTGCCCTCCCTTGGCTATGGCCAGGTGTGGGAATCCTCACCATATATATATATATATATATATATATATATATATATATATATGTGCCCTGAGATAAGTCATCAACATGACCACTTTGCAGATGAGGGTGCAAGAGAGTAATTTGCCCAAAGACAGTAGTCATAGCTTTCTAAACCTAGATGTAGTGAGACTCAAGTGTGCCTGGAAGAAAAACCCCTGCCCCCTTAGCTCTTAACACTAATTCCGGATGTGTTTGCCTTGGTAGTTGGGAAGAAAATGTACTGGTTACTTTGCAGGCTGTGCAATAGAGCACCCTGCCCTTGAAAACAGGTTGTAAGATGTAGCCATTATGAGCCCAGTTAAAATTAAGCCTAACTTGGAGTTTGTGGCTGAATCAGGATTTGAACCCAGGTCTTCCTACACCATGCATTTAATGCACATTTAAAATACTTAAGTGCCCCCAAAGAATTATGGGAATCCTGAGTTTACCCCTCACAGAGCTGCAGTTCCCAGCACCCTTAACAAACTATAGTTCTCAGGATTAACTGGGGGAGGCTGTGGGCTTTAAATGTGGACATGGACATGGGCCTGTGTGCTGAGTCAGGGATCTAGCAATGGGCCTGAAGCTAAATCTCACTGTTGCCTTAGGTTCTATGCCTAAGAGTCCACCTTAGAACCTGTCCAGTGCTCCCCTATGGCTGCACAATGCAAGGAAAGGTTGGTAGTCTAGGGATGCTTGCCCACCATTTCTGACTTCTCTGGGGCACCTCTAATGAGCTTTCGCACAATCCAGGGTTCCCTGGAATACTGTTTTAAATAGTCCAAGGACAGTAAGTGGATTTTCACCCATGCACATGCAATGCCCAGACTCAATCATAAAGTTGGAATGCTATAGCAGTAAGTGCTTCAAAGCTGTGTGCTCAGGCATAGTGCTACATAGAAAGATGCACATTATTATGCTACATGTGTTATATACAGAATACCAAAGAGTGGTTTTGCATTAAGAATTCCCTTTTAGAGCAAAACTGGGTGCCGCCTTTTGATCATAATGATCAAAATTTGGCAGGGTGGGCCAGGGGCCACGTAAAGCAGTTTCAGGGGCCAGGTAATTCTAAGGTGCCACCTCTTGGCCATCCTTGCCTTAAA